TCAGATGAAACTGCCCTTAATATCCCTATGTCGCCACTCATGTATTTCCTTCTAAAAATATTGAGTGATAACATTCTGTCATTCCCCTACTCCTTTGTGCATGCACTTCTAATCATTTTACACTGCCAATTTCTTTGTCCTTATGTTGAGCTTTCTTTGTTCAACAACATAAGAAAATTATGATGTTGAGGTTAGAATGGACAAAATAGTTTCACATAAATTCCAACAATCATAGATAAAAGTTTTTTTTTTTTTTTTTAATTAGAACTTTGTTATATCGTACGATCAAAGCGAATATAAAACATATTTATGTAGTTTTGATGGAGACCAAAAGCTTATTTGAATTGTTATTATACACAGTTCGCCATTTTATTGTTATATGCTGTTTATGTTAAATTCTAAAATATTCAAACTATTGTAATATCTTATTTGAACGTGGGTCGATCAGGATTTGAATGTTATTGGAACCAAATTCTAATATGGTTTAAACACTACTCAAATCAGTTAGAGTCATCCTGCAACCGCCATTTTAGAGCATTATTCTTAGCATATTTGAATTTGATTTAAATTTTGCTACTACATCATTCAAACTTTACTAAAAACTCGCACCAATTTTTGCTCAAATCTCTTCAGACCTTTGATAAAGTTAATGAAGCGTAGTTTGATCCAATTGGAGTAAAATTTTATCAAAGAAGATTTCCGATTTTAAAAATAAATAAATTTAAAGTATTTATAGGTGCCTTAAAGAAAAAAAAGAATCTTTATAACTTCATAATTATCTTTACAAAATATTCAATCATCTTAAATAGATTTTAAAAAATAGAAAAAAAGAAAAACTTTTGTGCTCTCATATTTTAAAGTTAATTAAAAATAAATTATAAAAAATTTCACAAAAATTTCTCAAATACAAAAATAAATCTAAAAATAGCTAACCTTCATTTGGCCGAAATCCGCGTTAAATGAAAAGAAGATAAAATAAACTAAATTGATATTTATCCATTTAAATTACTTATCGTTTACTGCCCACAGCCTCTTACTATTACGAGCTGGTGGTGTGGCGTCCCTATCCGGTTCCTTTCAACCCTTTCCACCCCCCTTTAAATACGTCTCCCTGGCCATCTCTCTTCCTCTCCGCTTGATCATCATTGTCCTCCTCCGCTTGAATTGATTGGAGCTCTGAATTTCAGACTTCTATTGAGGTATGTGGTTGTCATCGAAAGGTTGAATTCTAGGCTTTTTCCTAAATTTGAAGAAAAACGGCCCAGTTTTCTGTGATCCGGAATTGTTGCGGGAAGGAAAATTCATTGGTTGGCTGGATCTTGCCTCGTTTTTTTTTTTTATAAATGATTGACGCTTTCTTTAATTTAGATGTTCGTGGTTCAGTTAACTTCTACGTTTATTTTGGCGTTACTATTGAGGGATTTTTGTTTGAAAAGAGGCTTGCATGATTATTGAATCGGTAGAGGGGAATTTTTTTTATTTTTTTTCTTGGTTTGTTTGTCTTAGTTCTTTAACAGTTTAAGGCGTTATAACTTCGGATCTATGAGTTTTTGCTTGTTTTGGAATATTAGCTTATCTGATCTTTGTTTGCTTGAGGTTTGAAGGCATTCCTTAAATGTTCATTTTCTTGGTGCTTGGTCTGAGCAAGCAGATTGAACGTGGTTATGCACACTTTTATCAAACTTAATTATGGTCGTTTCAAGGATATTAGTCTGATTTATTTAATATCTCATTTTAATGAGCAACATGGGTTCTGAATCTTGTTATAACTTGCTGGGGGGCGGGGAATTGACAAACAAATTAGAGGATTTAATTAAAAGTGTTTGAGTCAAAAAATTAATACTAAAATAAAATTAAAAACATAGTGATATTAATTAGATGATTGGTTGATATTTGAATTTTTCTTACTTATAGTAAGATGAGTGTCTCGACGAGACGAATCCAATGAGCTCAAGATAGCTTAGTTTTGATATTATTAAGTACTTCAATGATTAAATAATTGCCTATATTAAGGAAATTAATACAGGCTATCCAATGAAGTTTTTTATTTTGAATATATTTGATATTTCTACAAAGTGTTGCACTCAAAATTTAAAAATAGAATGACTTTCTACATTTTTTTTTAAAGTTATTTCTTTCATTCTAAACTTTAGAATGACTTTCTACATGAAAAGGGCTATTGGCATGAAATTCAAGAGAGCTGAGGGATCGAGAATTTAGAAGCTCCAATCGAGCATTAATGCCAAACAATTGCCTGACTACTGACATTGGATCACTGCCCGACTGTAGCCATCGGTGACCACTGTCAGCCTGCGGTCCATATTAGCCTCATCTTACCTTTTGTATTTACCTTTGTACATGTAGTATTCTATTTAAACACCTATGTATCCTCCTTCTCCAATTAATCAAATATTTTCTCTTTTCTCTGTTTCCCGGTTCTGGCTCTCCGTGGCTCTCTATCACAGCCAATTTTTCATGGTATCAGAGCCAACAATGGGGGATCAAGATTCCGCACACTCCCCCGACCACAAAACATCAGCACACCAACAATCAACCCTTTAAAGACCCATCTCTATACTGCCGTCTAGCCAGATCTCTTCAGTACCTAACCATAACACGTCCAGACATTGCATACGCAACAAATCGCGTATGCCAACATATGCAACAACAACTCTTCAAGACTACCAATCTTTAAAACGCTTATTAAGGTACATAAAAGGTACCTTAAATCTCGGATTACCTATTACTACCAGTGATTTACAACTTCGGACATACACCGATGCCGACTGGGCATCTGACTCCTCTGATCAGAAATCTATTTTCGGATTTTGCACTTTTTTAGGACCAAATCTAATCTCATGGTCGGTAAAGAAACAGGTGACCGTTACTAAATCCTCTACGGAGGCTGAATACAGGGCCCTCTATGCGGCTACCTCTGACATGATTTGGATATATATGGAGCCTAGCAGCAGAACTAAATCTTTCTCAAAGCTCTCCTACAACAATCAACTGTGACAATATCTCCGTCATAGCTATTGCTAAGAATCCAGTCTTTCACGCACGAACTAAACACATTGAGATCGACTACAAATTCATTCGTCAACATCTCAATGCCGGCAACATTGTCATCCAGCATATTTCCTCCAAATATCAGATTGCTGATATTATGAAGAAACCCTTCTCATTCGCTCGCTTCAACGATCCCTGCTCCAAATCAACCATTCGTTCCACGAATGATTAATTTGCAGGGGAGTGTCATCCTGCGGTCCATATTAGCCTCATCTTACCTGTTGTATTTACCTTTGTACATGTAGTATTCTATTTAAACACCTCTTTATCCTCCACCTCCAATTAATCAAATATTTTCTTTTTTCTCTATTTCTCGGTTCTGGCTCTCCGTGGCTCTCTATATTGGCCAATTTTTCAACCACTGCTCACCGTCACTGTCATCGAACATAGTTATTGGACCACCATTGCCGAAAAACCTCTATCCGACAGCCTCTATCAAAGCATCTAAATCCAGCCTTCACCGTTATACCACCAATACTTGGCCTCCATCGTCAAATCATTGCACCCAATCATCATTGCCGGTCAGTCAAAGCTCAACCTCCACCTTCAAATCACCTATATCATGCAAACCACCATCGTTGGACTAACGCCGTTTTTTTCTTCTCTACTGGATTGCTATTATTTGGCGTTTGGCATCTAGCTGTCACCGTCCAAACATCATCATCAGATAACCACTGCACGACTTTCATTGTCAGAATGTTGCCATTATCGAACTATCATCATCAATGCACCTCCACTTGACCGGAATTAGAATTTTAAGTTACAGGACATAAAAAAGATTTAATTTTTCATTTTAGAAATCTCATGGTTCATCTAATAAGCAAAATATCCACATTATTTATTTATTTGGAAAAAAAAATGCCTCATTTTGCTTTCAGATGAAACTGCCCTCAATATCCCTATGTCGCCACTCATGTATTTCCTTCTAAAAATATTGAGTGATAACATTCTGTCATTCCCCTACTCCTTTGTGCATGCACTTCTAATCATTCTACACTGCCAATTTCTTTGTCCTTTTGTTGAGCTTTCTTTGTTCAACAACATAAGAAAATTATGATGTTGAGCTTCGAATGGACAAAATAGTTTCACATCAATTTCAACAATCATAGATAAAAGTTTTTTTTTTTTTTTTAATTAGAACTTTGTTATATCTTAAGATCAAAGCGAATATAAAACATATTTATGTAATTTTGATGGAGACCAAAAGCTTATTTGAATTGTTATTATACACCGTTCGCCGCTTTATTGCTATATGCTGTTTATGTTAAATTCTAAAATATTCAAACTATTGTAATATCTTATTTGAACGTGGGTCGATCAGGATTTGAATGTTATTGGAACCAAATTCTAATATGGTTTAAACACTACTCAAATCAGTTAGAGTCATCCTGCAACCGTCATTTTAGAGCATTATTCTTAGCATATTTGAATTTGATTTAAATTTTGTTAGTACATCATTCAAACTTTACTAAAAAATCGCACCAATTTTTGCTCAAATCTCTTCAGACCTTTGATAAAGTTAATGAAGCATAGTTTGATCCAATTAGAATAAAACTTTATCAAAGAAGATTTCAGATTTAAAAAAATAAATAAATTTAAAGTATTTATAGGTGCCTTAAAGAAAAAAGAGAATCTTTATAACTTCATAATTATCTTTACAAAATATTCAATCATCTTAAATAGATTTAAAAAAATAGAAAAAAAAAACTTATGTGCTCTCATATTTTAAAGTTAATTAAAAATAAATTATAAAAAATTTCACAAAAATTTCTCAAATACAAAAATAAATCTAAAAATAGCTAACCTTCATTTGGCCGAAATCCGCGTTAAATGAAAAGAAGATAAAATAAACTAAATTGATATTTATCCATTTAAATTACTTATCGTTTACTGCCCACAGCCTCTTACTATTACGAGCTGGTGGTGTGGCGTCCCTATCCGGTTCCTTTCAACCCTTTCCACCCCCCTTTAAATACGTCTCCCTGGCCATCTCTCTGCCTCTCCGCTTGATCATCATTGTCCTCCTCCGCTTGAATTGATTGGAGCTCTGAATTTCAGACTTCTATTGAGGTATGTGGTTGTCATCGAAAGGTTGAATTCTAGGCTTTTTCCTAAATTTGAAGAAAAACGGCCCAGTTTTCTGTGATCCGGAATTGTTGCGGGAAGGAAAATTCATTGGTTGGCTGGATCTTGCCTCGTTTTTTTTTTTTATAAATGATTGACGCTTTCTTTAATTTAGATGTTCGTGGTTCAGTTAACTTCTACGTTTATTTTGGCGTTACTATTGAGGGATTTTTGTTTGAAAAGAGGCTTGCATGATTATTGAATCGGTAGAGGGGAATTTTTTTTATTTTTTTTCTTGGTTTGTTTGTCTTAGTTCTTTAACAGTTTAAGGCGTTATAACTTCGGATCTATGAGTTTTTGCTTGTTTTGGAATATTAGCTTATCTGATCTTTGTTTGCTTGAGGTTTGAAGGCATTCCTTAAATGTTCATTTTCTTGGTGCTTGGTCTGAGCAAGCAGATTGAACGTGGTTATGCACACTTTTATCAAACTTAATTATGGTCGTTTCAAGGATATTAGTCTGATTTATTTAATATCTCATTTTAATGAGCAACATGGGTTCTGAATCTTGTTATAACTTGCTTTTTTAGGATTCTGTTGTAAAAAAATGCATAAAATTACCCATGATGAATATTATCTAGGCTTTTTGTTATAATAGATGAGGATGATTTCTGTGATGTTGCTTTGTTAATTAAAATTATGATAGTGAACCCTAATGCGTACTTAATCAGATATTTGAAAGTAGTTTCATGGTGTGACAACATTTATATCATTTCTTTTTGAAGTGTCCATTGGCTAATGACCATAGGAAGGGATGCTTAAGTAGATGGAAATTTCTGTAGCTTTAACATTTTCTACGTTCCTATTGTCATGAACTGAAATAGGTTGTAAGTTACCGCTTGATCGTCTAGGGCAAAATGCATGACATGATCATGTCTGTCCTTCCCAAACCCCAACTCATTTTGATGCTTCATGCACTATGGGATTTCTTAGACTTTTTTTTTTTTTGAGGGAGCAAAGCACAACTATGATATTGGAGGGATTCAATCATAGTACTTTGGCAATATCTTTCAAGATTTTTGTTGACTAAGGCTTCGTTTGGGACGGCTTTCTTACTGCTTCTTGAAACGGCTTTATAGTACAAAAATTAAAATTTTTGTTCTAGAAAGGCGCTTCAAGAAGCAGCAAAATTTTGTACTAGAAAGTTACTTCAAGAAGCAATAAAAAAGCCATCTCAAACGAAGCCTAAATTAGTTGACACCCACTTTCTTAAACCTGAATATCAACCTTAATCCATAGTGTTTCTTTTATGACTAAAAGATCCCACTCAACTTTGCCTATGACTCATTGCAGTTGTATCAGCATTGTGTGGAAATGGAAGCCACTGCAGGATAAATACTGCTTAACTTTTTGGTTGTTTATGGTAATGGTCTCCAATCTCTCTATCTAAAACGTGTTTTTGTCCAAGAAACCAGGCATATAATGTCTATATTTTAGTTAACTCTTTGTTTATCTGTTTACTTTGTAATTACCGTAGGTACCAGGGCAATGTGTGGTCAGCAGAACTATTGTAACACGGAGAATCAATATCTAAAACACCAACAATCAATTCTTTTTGACATTTTGCCGAGAAGCAGCTCTGGAATGGCATTTGAGATAGCCGCGAAAAAACCGGTGGCTACATTGAAATCTACACATATTCAAGCATCTTTCATACCTTTGTCCCTTAAAATTCCTATTAATGATGCATATCATGAATCGTTATATAAACAATGGGCTTCATGAACTATTGCTCTTCAATCTCTACCATTGTTAGATGCTGTTTGTCAGCACATTTGGAGATTCCGTTACTGAACCAGCAGATTAATTTGGACAGTGTCCCTTCATTGAAGTAATTTAGTCACCTACAAAGCTAAGTTAGGGATGCCTGACCTTGCTGGTGTTATGAAACGGGTGGTTGAATCAGAGATGTGTTTCTCTACTGCTGTTCAACATAACTCAAAAATTTCGAACCGGCTAAACCAACAATCACTACATGACTCATTCTGTTCCATCTTGCCTGGTTTACCTGACGACATTGCAATGTTCTGCCTCGCACTCATTCCTCGAAAATACACCCCTATTATGGGTGCTGTTTGCAAGAGATGGAGGATGTTTATTCAGAGCAAGGACTTCATCCCTGTGAGGAAGGAAACTGGTATGCTTGAGGAGTGGCTCTATTTCTTAACTAGTGATATAGATGGGAAAGGGAGCCACTGGGAAGTCATGAGCTCGTTAGAAGGCAAAACCTGGATGCTTCCTCCAATGCCAGGTTCAGTAAAAGCGGGTTTTAGTACAGTTGTTTTTGATGGAAAGCTGTTGGTTATTGGTGGATTTTCTGTGAATGATGGAATTCAAAGTACTTCAGCCGATGTTTATCAATATGATGCTCGGCTTAACAGGTTTGCCTTTCATAAATTTTTGTTCCTCATGATTTCTTTCAAGTTCTAAATGATTTTGTATCTTTACATGTATTGATGTTTGTCAATACTAAGATATCCTTTTTCTCGGCAACACTTTGAAAATTCTTTATGATTTCTGAAGACCAACAATATTGATAGTAACTCATAGGTGAATGGCTTGCCTGCTTTGAAAAAGATTTCGAGCTAGTTAAGTAGGTGATTAATTGATTCTGGTCTTTGACGAGTGGCTCTATTTCTTTTAAAGAAAGCTAAAATATCCTACCGTGTGAAAATTCAACCCCCATACAAACTTCAATGAGTTACTGAAATTCTTTGCTTCAGCCCGTGTGCCGAAAGCAAGTCATTCTTGTATGCTGAAACTTTCAGCACCCCTTCTAAGTCATTCTTCATAACTTAGGCTTAGGGCATCTCCAGCCAAAAATCTCATTTTTCACTCCAAAATATCGTGAATCTAAAAAATGCCGTGATTAATCCCCAACTGAAATCCATTTTGCCCCGTTTCGAAGGTGAAGGTCGTTCTCTTTTTTGCACGTTTCTTCGGCAAGTTCGTTAGAGACAGAAAAATAGCGGTGATGAACAGTGTAACGTCAATATTGACGTTTCACAGTTCACCCGCAATCAATTAGTGGAAGTTTAACCGTTCAAGCGTTGGAGTTCGGTTGGAGATGCCCTTAACCTTTTTTTTACTATATGACATTAGCTTAACATAAAGGATGTTCTTTTTTCCCTATGAAAGCTGCCATTACATATCCCAGGTGGACCATGCTTGCAAAGATGAATGTTGCTCGCTATGACTTCGCCTGCACTGAAGTTAATGGCATGATCTATGCAGTAGGCGGCTACGGATCAGACGGTGAGAGCCTCTCGATTGCAGAGGTCTACGACCCAGACATGAATGAATGGACTCTGATCGAGAACCTCCGGCGGCCCAGGTACGGCTGTTTCGCCTGTAGCTTCGGGATTCATCTCCAACCGAACTCCATTTTGCCCCCTTTTGCGAAGGTAACGGTCGTTCTCTTTTTGTCGTGTTTCTTCGGCAAGTTCGGTAGAGATAGAAAAATAGCGGTGATGGCGTCCCACTTTTTACCCGCAACCAAATAACGAAAATTTTACCTTTCGGTTGGAAATGCCCTTAACCTTTTTACTATATGGCATTAGCTTAACGTAAAGGATGTTCTTTTTTCCCTATGAAATTTGCCATTACATTCTTGCAAATATCCCAGGTGGACCATGCTTGCAAAGATGAATGTTGCTCGCTATGACTTCGCCTGCACTGAAGTTAATGGCATGATCTATGCAGTAGGCGGCTACGGATCAGACGGTGAGAGCCTCTCGATTGCAGAGGTCTACGACCCAGACATGAATGAATGGACTCTGATCGAGAACCTCCGGCGGCCCAGGTACGGCTGTTTCGCCTGTAGCTTCGGCGGCAAGCTTTATGTCATGGGAGGTCGTTCAAGCTTCACCATAGGCAACTCCAGGTTCGTGGATGTGTACAGCCCTGAAGGGCATTCATGGTGTGAAATGAAGAATCCTGGATGTGTTATGGTCACCGCTCATGCAGTGCTGGGAAAGCAGCTCTTCTGCATGGAGTGGAAGAATCAAAGAATGCTAGCCATTTTCGACCCTGCAGACAACTCATGGAGGAAGATTCCGGTACCTCTCACCGGGAGCTCCACCATTGGTTTCCAATTTGGCATCCTCGACGACAAGCTCCTGCTCTTCTCCCTGGAGGAGGATCCTGGATATGGTACGCTTATTTATGATCCGGCTGCCCCTGCTGGATCAGAGTGGCACACTTCGTCGCTGAAGCTATCTGGTCCTTGTCTTTGCACTGCAACTATCAAAGCTTAATCTTTAGTTTCGCTTGTCCTTTAATGTTTTTATTTGTCTTGTTGAAAAGGTTGACAATTTTAAGCTCATGTATTTTGATTTAATTCGTGTTTTTTTCGCATGCTTCGTTTGAGATAGTTTGTTTACTGCTTCTTAAAGCAATTTTTTAGAACAAAAGTTGAAATTTTTGTACTCGAATGCTTCTTAAAGCAACAAAAAAATTGTCCCAAACAAAACCTAAATGTTTTGTAGTTCCTTTGTGAGTTGTGACTTTTTTCTGCTTTTGTCATTAAATGGCTTAATCATATTGGGATGTTAAGGAGCGCTAACTATTTATTGGCTTTAGTTTTGGGTTCATCAATGAATTATAACTTTTTGTAGACCATGAGTTACATTGTGTAATTGGAGGGTTATCTTTATGACTTGTATGGTTAGTTTTATGGGAGAAATCATAATGGTGGATCAAGTGAGATATTTCCTTGATTTCTTCATGCTAAGAGTTGGGTGGCATATTATAAGTTTGATTTATATTGGTTTGTGACAAAATGCATGAATTATTGATTATGATATGAATGAAGATTGCAAATCTAGAATCTAAGTTTGTGGATGAAATAAAAGATAATATCTTATTTTCTCCTGTTGTTGTAGGAACTTTTGTGCCAATTATTCATAATTGCTCATGTTCTTTATTGTTCTTCCCTAATTTCTTTGTTTGTAGATCGGGACATGGGGGGCTGGGGGATTGTTACTTTGGATGATTAAGTCATTAAAAAGAGTATACATTTTAGAGATTTGGGTCTATTTTTCAAAATAATGGTGAAATAGATGAGGATATTATTAGTAGAATTTAGGTTGGACGGTTAAAGTAGATGAATGCATCAAACTTGTTGTGTGATAGAAAAAATACCTTTCAAACTTAAGGAAAATTTTTATAAATGGTGGTGAGACCTATAATATTTTATGATGTATAATGTTGGTCATTAAAATAAAGCATAAAGTTAAGTGTTGCTAAGATGAGGATGTTCAGATGAATGAGTGGTTGTATATTTAGAGAAGTGTGAAACCAATTAAATATGTGAAAATATTGGAGTGGCTCTTGTGACAGATAAGATTAGAGAGAGTTGACTTAGATGGTTGGTCGCATAAAATGTCAATCTTCTGATGACCTGATTAAGAGAGTATGTGTATTAGATTTTGTCCATGTTAAAAAAAGTAGAGGTAGCTTAGAATGGCTTGATTATAAAATATTAGAAATGACATTCCCTTATGTGAGATTTAATTTTTTAAGCATATAACTTGAAATATTATGCCCTATTGCAAAAAGTAATTCTCATTTTGGAAATGGAACAAAAAAAAAATTGAATTGTTTCTCTAATATTTTCCGCAAAATCAAAATAGTACCTAACTACGTAAAAATATTAATTGAGCCCCTCAGCTCCTTAAATAATGATCAAATTAGTCCCTCAGTGAGATCATTTAGATCCCTATTAAAAAATTCAAGGTATTAAAATGAGGCTTTTAAATAGTTGGAAATCATTTTGATCCTTCATTAAAAATAAAAAAACTATTTTGATTCTTATTTCGTTTGAAAAGTTTGACCACTCGCTTAAAAATATGTTGTATAAAACTTTAATAAATTGCTATCAGAGTGGGTTTAGGGATTTGCAAGAATGACATTTTTTTTAAGATTAAATTGAGAGATAAGATGATAAGATTGATTTCTTAATACTATGGGACCATAATATTTCTAAGTTTTTAAGCCATTTTAGGATATGAAAAGCAAGAATTAAGAAGTCAACATATGATAGGCTAATTTCGCATAAGAGTGATAAGATGCTTGGTGAGTTCTTTAAAATTGAACATGCTTGAATCATGTCTGGTGTGAAAACCGGGTAAACCTGCAAAACAGAGAGAAGAAAGAAAAGAACAGAGCAAGCAAGAAGGAGACGAAGGAGAAGAATAAGAGAGAGTGTGGGTAATTCCAGTGTAGCTGTATTCAAATCTGCTCCAAAACATGCTATCTCCAGGTATTACATAAGCCGTTTCTAATAACGAAAAATACTAAAAGAAATGCTAAATGCTGAGCTGGCCACTAATTGGCAGAGAAAGCAATAACTAACTAAAGCTGCAAGCGGTAGTGGAGATATAAGCAAGGTAATGATATCACCGGAATATTCTGGTACCATGATACGCCACATCAATGTCTAGTTGTAGTTGGTTTAAATAGGTTCAAATGACTAGCATCCTACTAAATGTTTTATTCACTTAAGAAGGATATCTGAATAGGGTGCAACTCAAAACTCAACAAATATTGTGAGCCAAACTCGATGAACGAATTAGTCGAAACGGAGACTAGACTTTTACATTTTGAATAATTACATAGCTCACATTGATAACTTAGACTACCAACTGAGAGGTCTTGGGTTTGAGTCTTGTATATGCGATGTGTGTGCGAATCTGCTTTAATTGGCCTAAATGTAAAAAAAAAATCTTGAATACTTTATTTTAAAATAATTATATAAAATATATTAAAATTCAAAGCAAAATTATGAATATAATTAAAATTTATAGCTATCTTTCCTACCTAAATAAAGGTTTTATTATAAATATAATTATATTTATAATTTTCTTTTATAATGAATCAATTGAATCAAGAGTCCAAAAAAAAAAAAAAAGTCCATTCAAATACATAAATAAAAAAATTGCATACTTATTATTAAAATTAATTATGATGAATTTTAAAAATGTTAATTTCTATCAGAATATACTATCATAATATATTAATTTTGTTCTCTCATAATAGAGGTCAAAATTTTAGTTCGAATTAGAGCAAAAACACAAATCAAGGTTTACTCGGCGACTCGACTGCAGTAAAGAGTTCCGACTTCCGAGCGCTGATCGTATTAAATCGATCGAATCGATCGTCTTATTTCTCTCGTTAGCACTCCGGCAATTTGCCATGGCGCCGATCTAAACCCTAATTACTGATCTAGATTCCAAACAGGAGAGATGTTCGGAACACATTCGTCGTCGCCGGCGTTCGGCTCTCCATCGGGCTTCGGCACTCCTTCAACCCCTGCGTTCGGCTCTCCATCGGGCTTCGGCACTCCTTCAACCCCTGCGTTCGGAACTCCCTCTTCAACCCCTGCGTTCGGAACCCCTTCTTCAACCCCTGCGTTCGGAACCCCCTCTTCAACTCCTGCGTTCGGCACCCCCTCCACTCCATCATTTGCGACGCCCTCCACCACGCTGGCATTCGGCTCATCTCCGGCGTTCGGCACGCCGTTTTCGACGCCGGCGTTCGGCGCGTCGTTTTCCACGCCGGCGTTTGGCTCGCCGTTTGCCACGCCGGCATTCGGGACGCCGTCTATGCCGTGGTTCGGTACGCCTTCGACGCCGGCTTTCGGTTCCTCTTCGACCCCCTTCCTCCAACAACCCCAACCAGTTCAACCTCTGCAGCAAGCGCAGCCATCCTTCTCCTTCTTTCCTCAGCAACAGCAGCAGCAAGTCCCATCTTTCACCTTCCAGCCCAATGCGCAAATTACCACACAGATGGCACCCGTCGCCCCACTCACTCTCAACCTCACCGACCGTGACGTCTTGGTCTGCTGCATTCTTAAACCCTAGGCTAACCGTTGAAAGTTCTGTCTAACTATTGTGGTATTTACTTTGCCAGGCGATCGTAGATGCCTACAAAGAGGAACCAGCCAACCCCAAATATTCCTTCAGGGTAATTTTCTTGATTTTGTTTTGAATTTAAGAGGCTGTTTTGATACAAGTATGTTAGTAAATCTTGTAAATCCATATATAGTAAATCCTCATAGGATTAAATCACGATAAACTGTTTGGCATGATATATGTTAAATTCGCTTAAATTCCAGTAAACTTTTTGGCAAGTATTTTCAAGATTTACAAGATAAATGAAGAAAAAAAAAGAGAGTAGAAGTTTAAATCACCTGGATTTGCTAAATCCATGATTTAGCCAAAAAAATGAGTAAAACAGGATTTATTTTAGGTTGCAAAAAAAAAAAAAATATTTTCCTAGATTTTAGCCTTATTCTTGTTAAATCTTTCAACCAAACTGCCCCTAAGCATGCAGTGCCATTTTGGTTTTGAAATTTATGACCCTTTTTTGTTTTCCTGTAGCATTTGCTTTTTAGCGTGACTGATCCGGCGGCTAGGGTGAAACCTGTTGGTGTTTCTGATGTGAGTTCCATCTAGTTTTGGGTGAGCTTGGTTTAGGTTATCTTGAACTGTTTTTACGTGACGGTGTACTAAATTAGGTGTTTTAGATCATGTGGGCGGAGGCAATGGGGAAGCTGGAGGGAATGGAGAGTGTGGACCGGGAGAGGTTATGGCCTGAGCTTGTTCAGGGATTCAAGGGCCTTTCAAATCGAATCAAGGTATTATAGGTTTTTGGTTTGTAACATTTGAAGAACTTTTTCCCCGTTATATCAGTTGCAGTTTTGAAGTAACCTTTTTTGTCAATTTTTATATAATGGAGAATATGCTCTACTTGTTGAATCATCATTTAATCTATCATTAGTCATGTTTCATTAATTTGTGCAGGAGTCAAGGCATTGTCTGTGACAGCTTCTTTTCACTTGATATTTATTCTAAACTTTTTATAGATGGTTGTTCTCCTTTTATGATATCAATTATTGCTAACTTGACACTTTTGTCATCTTTTTTTTTTTAATTATTTTCCTAGTTTTATCATTATGTTTTCTTTGCAGTGGCAGTAAAATGACACTTCCATGTGCCAATTGTGACAAAATCAGGAAGAAAGCGTATATTTATTTTATCTTTTGCAACAACTTGAACTTTACTTTTTGAGTACCAATCAATGTTCTCAAACAATTTACAAAATCGGAACTTGTAATTTTGGTATCGAGAAGTTGATACTTTGATGAATAGAATTTTGCAGTTATGGCTATAGGGGTATTTGAAATTCATATATTCTTAAGTCAGCTTTACTACTAGCGGTAAGAGGTATTGTATGCATACTCAATTTTTCTACTTCAGCATAAACCTGAGCATTCATGCTGCCTTTATCAGTTATTTATGCAACCAGACTCCTTGTGATTCTAAACGGGCTGCTGAAATGATGATCATGTTGGATTTTTAACCTTAAATTGTTAAGAAGAGAAGTTTCCAATGTAGTGGAATATTTGAGGAGTTAAAGAGATGAAGTAGATGTAGAAGACTAGAAGAATGAATGCCTGAAGAGGTTGGGAGCAAGAGGATGGAAGAAGAAGAGCTTCACAACTAGGAGAAATAGGAGGAATTGATATCCAGAGAGAATGGTAAAAAAAAAACTATTTTTTATTCCATCATCAACAAGCTTGATTTATGTCCCAATGCCTTCTATTTATTGGCATTCTAACCTTATTAACATTAAGATAATGTCATGAATGACCAAATGGAAAGTGATTATATATCCTTGACAAATAACAAACAACAAATAAGGATGATGAGAAAGGCATGAGTATGTTATACTTGCTAACCTGATCTAAAATTATAAATGACATAAGGCATATAATTGTAAGTAAACATGATGTATTAATACCCTTTGTTTGTGAAGAACTATATTATGTATATTCGAAATGCCAAGTGCTGAAAAGACTAAAGGCGTTTTACTGTGCTGTTGAGTTGGCCTTTGACTGTATTATCGAGTTGATGAAATCAAATTTATGGGAAATCCACCCGAATGTAGAGACAACAGGAAAATTTATTATGATATTTATATTTTGAATATGAAATTCACCTGATGAAGAAGAAATGATTGGGAGGAACAACACTATCATCTGCAATTATAACAAAAAGGCTCTTACCATATATTATTAAGAACATTATCAATGATTTAGAAAAAATATCTAGAAGCTTGATGATCTTCATGCACACTGCAAGATTGATTCAATCTAAATTTTGCACTAAATGATTGAGGTTAACCTTTTATTTGGGTTTGTGACTAAGGTAAGTTGGTTTTGAATTTGGTCAGGGTTGTGTGGTTTGATTTGATTGAGATAGTATTTGGAGTTAAATTGGAGTGAATTTAGTTCATGTGAAGCTAATGATTTTTTTTTCTTTTTGTGAATAAAAAGGGTCTTAATTTTTAGCAAGGAGCCGGAGGAGGAGAGTGGAAAGTATGTGCTTAGATAATCAAAAGGAAAAACTCTTAATAGTAAAAATAGTTCTTGGTATGGTCAAAATGTGCAAAAAAAAAAGAAGTTTTGTTATAAAAATTGGTTTATATATTAAATCTTAGAAAATTGGGAAATATATGGAAGGGCCTATAGGGATTTTAAAAAAGCAATATGTGATATAAAGAATTAATTTTTAGTGATTTATATAAGAGGTTAGATACTATGGAGGACGAAATATATATGTATAAGTTAGCTAAGCAAAGAGATAGGTGAAGTAAATATTTAGTTCAAGTAAAGTGCAGTAAAAATGAGAATCAAAACATGCTTTTCGTAGAAGATGTTATTCAACATAGGGGGATGAGATATTTTGATTAAATTTTTATTGCAGGTTGTGAGAATATGATTATCTTTAGTGTTCTTAGCATCCTAAATGAAAATAAAATTTTTATTTTTATCAGTGTACTAAGGTTGACCTCCATAATTCAAGTTTACCTTCAACTCCCTCTCTAGTCTTATCAACAAGAAGAATATCAGCAGTAAGGTACAACCTCTTGCAAATGTCTAGTGAGAACATTCATGACTAAAGCAAAAAGATATAGGCTTAAGGCTGATCCTTGATGTAATCCAACCGAATAGGAAAATACTTGGTCAAACCACCTTGCATGAAATCATCCTAGCTTAATGTCTGTATCCTTTTGACTTTTTTCAAATAATCAAACAAGCCCTTGGCTTTTTAAGTGTGTCCAATTTTGACTTATATTTTATTTTTCAGATATTCAGTTTAGCTCATCTAGTCACTAAATCTTAACTAATTTAATCCTTTTGTCAGCTTTATCATTTTCCTTGGATGGAATGAGGTGGCGGAAAGCTTTTTATGAGGGCATTTAAACTTTTTATGTACTAAAACTGAGCTTCAATGGGCCTCTTCTTTCTACTCTTTTTTTTTTTGCATCGTAACTTGTGTTTGGTTTGGCTGCCTTATTTGTATGCAACTTGGAGTTGGGTATATTGCTGCTTGCAATTACCTTCTTTGATTTGGCTTTGCTACTGTAGTAAGAATCAGGATTAAAGGACTATAGCATTAAATCGTTCGTTATTCAGGCGACTTATTGATGCAAACATTTCTTTGCCATGTCATCATAACGACTACTATCCTAGTCAGCATAAGTCGCCGTTTAAAGGAGCGACTTTGCCTATATTTAAATTTTTTTTTAGGCATGCTTAAATTGTTAATACAAATATAAATCATGCTTATTCATAAAAATTTCCCTATTGTTTTCCTATTGTGGTTGTATTCATATCCTTTGTCTTCCTTCTTTGGAAGGTGCTGCTAATTTAATTATATTTTCACTTCTACTCGGTTATTTGTTACTTAAAAGGTGTGCTTTATCTTTCTTTTTGGCACGTGTCTTTGATTTAATTTGGATTTTTTCTTCTACTTGATTCTTATTATAGTCAATATCAGATATTTATTTGTTGATATTTTGAATTGCATTATTGCAAAATTCAAAAAGTTGTTGGATTGGCACTATGGTTGAACAAAAATTTTGTTTTTTATGTAGCTGAATCGAAACTTGCAATTCTTTACTAGATTATGGGGATTCTAAGAAATTATTTATTTTGAATCTTTTGGATTATAAAGAGGACCTTTGAGGCATGCATCTTTTATGAACCACTTAATAAAATATTTTTGATCTGGAACTTGTGCGTGCTAGTTTGATGCAATCATGCAAATTCTTTGAGCATAATGATTCTCCTTATATTGGTGTATCGCCTTTATACTCTGATTAGTGTATTTTATCCTTGCTATTTTAATCTAAAGTATTATGTGATGGGTTTTATTTATGAGATTGAGAATTGGTAAAGTTTGCTACATGCCAATTTTTTTACTAATGCAAGCATTTTTGTTTTATTCATTCTCAAATTTTTTTACTAAATTTCATATTTCGACTAACTTTAAATTATTTTTAAGAGCAAGTTACATATATTTTCTAGTTTTGATTCCAAGGAGATTGATACTTGCCTAAGCTAAAAGTTGAAAAAATGTTATCGTAGGTGTTTTGTGTATGTATTCTTCCTATGACATTTTGCATCACTTGTAAAAGTCCAAACTTGATGTTGTTGTTTAAATGGGGTGCTATTCTAAAGTGATATTCTTTTCCCTAGAATATATAAAAGATCTGAATTTAATGATTTAGATGCAGGCTTTATTTTGTTTGTGGTTTTCAAAGAGTTAGCTTAGTTTAATCAGTTAGGTATTACCAACTTTGTCAAATTTAAGTTATCCCTCACCTCACCCTATTATCCGCACTTGAATTTACCCTCTACTCCCCTATTTTGTTATGAGCTAGGCAAGTATTCATCATTTAATTATTACTTAATACCCGTAAATAGCACTCGTCATTTGCGCCTTACAAAATCAGCACGGGCATGAAATATATTGGGATTGATTATCATTTAATTATTACTTAATCATGAATTACAATTTAAAATTTATAACATGTTAACAAAATAGCACTCGTCATTTGCGCCTTACACCATGCGCCATTGACCATGTATGGCACAAATAGCGTGCACTATTTTGATGCGCCGCACCAGGCCAAGAAGATATTGTCGTATGTGCACCGTGCTATGCGCCATGGCATGCCCCAGTTTGTGCCATTGACATGCATGGTGGCTAAATAAGAGAATAGGATAAAGAAGAAGCTGAACCAGTAGAATTGGAAGAAGGTTCATCACAGACGAATGTCGATGGAGTTGCAAGATTTGGAGTATCAGAATGTTGTGTTGGAGGTGCAGTTGTATTTGAAGAAAAAAGAGGAAAAAAACTAGAGGAAGGAACTAGCGTAAGGGGAGGAGGATGCTGAGGTGAAGTAGAGTTATTGGACTGTGGAGAGATTGAGAGGTAAGGAACAAATAGTTTCATGAAAATGAACATGTTGAGATAGATGCGACCTGTGAGTGGGTTGAAGCATTTATAACCTTTGTTGTTGGAGGCATAACCAAGGAACACACAATGAGTGGATTTTGGTTCAATTTTATTATGAACTTTGGAAGGAAACCATGGATAACATAAGCAACCAAAAAATTTAAGATGATTATATGTGGGTGGTTGTTGATGCATACATTGAAAGGGAGAGAGGTTATGAGTAGTTTTGGAATGGAGTCTATGATAAAAGTATGTTGTTGTAAGGAGGGTGTCCACCCAAAGAGTAGAAGGTAGATTTTCTTGAAAGAGCAAGGCATTTATAGTTTCGAGAAGATGACAGTGTTTTCATTCAACAATACCATTTTGCTTTGGAGTATAAGAACAACTAATGTGGCGAAGAATGCCAAATTTATGTAATTGTAATTGAAAATCAGCATTGACAAACTCACCTTCTCCATCTAATTGAAGTATTTTTATGGGTTACTGGAATTTTCTCAACTAGTAACTTGAAATCAATAAATTTGGAGCAAACTTTAGATTTGCATATTAAAGGATAAAACCAACAAAAACGAGTAAAATCATCAACAAAAAGCAAATAATATTTATAATTTTGCATGTATAACATAGGGGAAGGCACCCATAAATCAATATGAATAATTTCAAGATATTGAGTAGTTCTAGGATGAATTAAAGAAAAAGATAATTAATGACATTTTGCACAAGCACATGAATAACAGTGAGAAAGAGACGAAGTTGCCTTGTTGTGAGTGAAGAAAGTTAAAAGTAGCTTGTGAGTAGCAGTCGAGGAATGGCCAAGACTCTCATGCCAAATATTTGGGCTGGAAGTAGAGCTGATGAAGGCTGCTAGAGATGTGGTGGAAGGCTAAAAATGTGTGAAGGGCTTAATAGGGTAGAGACCTTAAAAACTGAGACCCTAAAGTAAGATTTGATTTGTCGTGGAGTCCTTTATAGTAAAGCCATGAGCATAAAAAATAACAGCAGAAGCATTATCAACAGTTAGTTGATGAACATATAGTAAATTATGTGAGAGGTTAGAAACAGGAAAAATATGGGGTAAGTGAAGCATACAGTTAGGAGTTGGTAGAATTCCTTTACCAGAATGAGTTATGAAAAGCTTGTTATTATTGACAACCTGAATTTGAGATGTGCTAGAGTATTGTTGAAGCGATTGCAGTTGAGTGGTATTAGTAGTAAAATGAGAAGAAGCTCCAAAATCCAGAACCCAGTCCGCAAAAGAAGCCGTTTAATGCGCAATGTGAGCTTGTTGATTAGGCTGATAAGACAGATCAGATCGATGCAACATTTGAGAGAAGAATGTCCTGGTTTACCACAAATTTGATAGTCCAAATAAGACAGGCCACATTTGCCACCATGAGCAAGTATTCAAGAAGAACTACCACCACGAGACAAGGAGCATTGGTGACCACGACCAGTGGAGAATGAAGAACCATGTCCGCGAGGCGGCCTCTACATGCAACAAATGCAAAGGTAGGATCAGCGGAGTTGGCAGAAGATTGGTTGTGAGTAGTATCGGTAGCTATATTGAGTTCTTCATTGCATAACAGGGCATATTGAGTTCTTCATTGCATAACAGGGCATATTGAGTTCTTCATTGCATAACAGGGCATACTTATCATCTAAACTAACCGTTTGTAGTTTAGTACAAATAGATGTCTTGAAAGCATTGTAGGAAGGAGGTAGTACATTGAGAGTGTATAATATAATAACTTTGTGTTCAATGGAGGAACCTGCTATAGCAATGACATCAACTTCTACTTGATGTTCGATAAATACTACGCCATAGGTGTTTCTTTCGTTTTGAATTGATAAAGTTCATTTTTCAGTTGTAAAATGCGAGACCAATTTGTGGATTGCAGTCGGCACTCAATCATAGGCCAAATGTCATGCGTGGGTATCTAAGTTAAGCACATAAGGAAGCTAAGGAGGGGAAATGGTGAAGGGCTGCAACTAAATTTTGATCAATGAGCTTCCATGCGGAAAAATGTGGATTAATGGAGATGGGTCCATGAGCGAGGAGATGTTGTTTTACTGGTTTAGGAGTGAAACCATCAAGATACCCCTCAAATCTATTAGCAGGAAAGAGTTTAAGAATCTCCAAAAGAAAAGTAGATATAGTCCAATCTACTTTTCCAGTGAGGATGATTATTAATATTTAATTGAATATTAATCACTGATTTTATATTGGTCATGGGGGGAATGGGTATATCACTCATTTTAATAGGAATAGCATTGAGGGAAAAGGAGGAAGAATTTGAAGACTGTTTCATTGCAGCAGTAGCAAAGAGACAAGCAGAAGTCTAAAAGAAAATATAGTAGATACAGTAAAGAAGGGACCCAAATTTTTGCTAGAAAAATTAAACCTTTCTAGATAATATAAAAAGCATAAAAAGGACAAATTAAACAAACTTTACTTATATAAAATAAAAGACTTACAACGATTGACTCTTACAAACGACACAAACACAAATTAAAGACAAACTCATAAATTGCTTTCCTTGAGAAGAAGGATACATGTGGGGTGTAAACTTGTGGATAGAATAAGAGGTTAGAAGCCGAGACGAAAGAGGAGACGCTCGCAAGCTTTCCTAGAAGAGGAGTAGAAGAGATGGAACAAGCTCGCAAGCTTTTCCAACAAAACCCCCATGTTTACATTTCCAAAAATCATTCACATAACATGCTTTAAACAACCACAAAACATTTTATATTTATAGACAAGAGAGGGGAATACAAACAGCCACAAAAACCCTTCATATTCTTAATTAAATAAGGGAAATGAAAAGCCAACAGTCAACTCCAGAAAACAAAGCACCATAGCCACAGAAAAGCCCCCCAAAAGCCACGGGAAGCAGCCCAGCTAGGAACCCGAAGAGGCAACCGCAAGAACCAAGGAGGAAGCCGTGGGAACCAAGGAGCCAAGGCACGGGAACCCAAGAGCCATCCACGGGAAACTAATGGACAAGGGGAAGGAGAAGAGAGAAAAAATTAATGAGCTACTAATAAATTAATAAGTGAACTAAAAACATAGCTCATAATGAGCTAACTCTTAGTTCAAAAATTAATGAGCTAGCAAGCTCAAGGGAAGTCAAAACCAAATTTTTTTGGGTTTGATTTGACCCCCCCTTTGTCTAAATCAGAAGCTCTAATACCATGTTGAGTTTCAGCATATAAACTGAATTGCAAGAACAAGAACTGAAGCAGAGGAATACATATTAGCAGAACTTCATCATGTTCTATATCGAAAACTCAACCCTTTATTGATAAATATATAAAAGTAAATGTAGTATTACACTTGAGTTAGTTAACAATCAATGGCGATTATTAATAAAGAAGATGACAACAATAGCAATGAGAAGAAAGCTCTACACATATCTACAGTGAAGCTTTTCATGTTGCCATTTTTGCTCAAGTTCAAACCTTTATCACTTTCATTGTAGTAGAAGATTCCGTTTCTGCTATTTCTTAATTGCTTTATTTAAAATTTGTAATTCTAAAAATGCTTATTATTAATTTATTATCATACTATTTTTCTTGTCACAGATTCAGGATGAAACTATTGTTTCAGATGCTGAAAGGTTGCAGAAGACGCAATCTAATGTGAAAGAGGTATGCTTTCAGTATTGTCTGACTGAACTCTTCTTCTTATGGCTGCTATGATTTTTGTCCATACAACAGCTTCAAAGGCACATCCAAGCCGATGTATTTCCATGGGTCCAAAGGATGCATCAGAAAGAGCAATGCCTTCAAAGGAGGCTTTTGAGGGTATGATTTGAATTCCATATCTCCTCATGACGATTTTCCTCTATGCTTTTATATTAAAATTTTAGCACATTCTTTATCTTTTTGGATCAAAGGTTATGAGAATTGTGGAAGCATTGGAGGGCAGAGGACTTCGGATGCCCTTGATGAAAGGTGAACTTGATCTGGGTGATAAGTTGGATTCTATACTAAGACAGGTCTCTCTGTTCCTTCTTTACTTTCAGGCTTCATTTGGGACGGCTTTCTCGCTGCTTCTAAAGCAGATTTCAAGTACAAATATTTAAATTTTGTATACTAGAAAGTTGCTTTAAGAAGCATCAAGAAAGCCATCCCAAATGAAGCCTCAGTTTGTTCCTCTCTGGTCATTCAAAACTTGACCATCTATGTTATATGCTCTTAGATTAAGGGACCTGGAGGAGAGCTGTCTAGAAAGGTTCATAATTTGTCATCCATATCTCGTTTGCAAGCCAATGCTGGTGGCATTGGAGCCAGCTATCATATTGGTTCTGTCAAGATTGACGAGCGAAGCCTTGCGGACTTGCAAGTGGTAAGGGAAAGATATTTCCGTTGTGATGTTTTCCACAAAAGAATTTCTACCTAAAATGAACCTATAATGAATAATCACTAATACAGGAACAGGCATGAATATATCAGCACTAAAATTTTCATAAAATATATAGAACACATATTAGACTCTACACTATATATATTAAAAATTGTTTCCATTATTTAGGATCTGTTTGAAATAATCTTAGTATTTTATAAAGTTGATTGTGAAGTTGTTACGAGAAAAACAACTTACCTAATCGTAGAAAATAATTTTTCACCTCAAATTTTAAAAAAAATGAGAATATAATAATCAAATGAAATTGCGAATTTTTTTTTTTTATCAAATGAAATTGCGATTGTTGTCTGAAAAACAAAGCAATTAGAAAGCTGTTCCAAACACTCATACTATATAGTTCCAACTGTTTGAATTCACTGCTTGATATGTCAACCGTCCATATGAAAATATTGGTACTTCATAAATATAACTAAAGTTTGTGAAACTCCTCCCAAATGGCATCTGTATGCCCCCACTTGCCGTGTTGGGTTTGTGACATGAGAACGATTAATTATTTTATGCGGACGCAGAACTCCGTCCAGAGCCCAATGAAAATGTGTAACGTCATCCCCTACTCGGTACTGTGGCTCGGTCCGCTGTATTTCTCGGTACTGGATGACGTGGCTGCATCTTATTCGTCTCTGGATGATAAGCTATCTCTTTTGTCCGCGCAGAATAATCTCTCCATGCGAGCACCCATTCCCAACTCACATGCCTTCCATCATCTTGCGGTGTTCTGTGAAGTCATTGGGAGAAGTTTTGAGAAGTTGAAGCATTTATTTGATATGAGAGTCATCTCTGGTATATTATTATTACCATTACCTGACTAGTTGGACATTTTTCACTTAGGTTTTACAGCTACAAACAGAAGCAATTGCCAGGTTGGGCAACGTGTTGAAGAAGGATACAAGGGACATGGAAATCATTACGTCGGAGGCCGGCGACAAGCTGGAAGATGGAGGTAGGCGAGCTTTGAAAAGCTTTTGATTTTTTTTTTTATATAATTATTATTTTGATTTTTTGGCATCGGATTTACCTAAACATGTGGCCGCTGGATTTTATGAAAAAAAAAAAAGGATTCAATTTTGACTGGGCAGTTGAGCTAACTAAAAGATTCGTCCATGCAACCTGTTTTTATTTTATTTTTGCGTTACGTGAAGATTTATTATTCTCTTCAACTTAATGAACTTTAGGTTGCAGGCCAATATTTTATGTTATAAGATAGCCACTTGGAAATTACGGGTCGCTTCTTAGGCTTCGTTTGGGATGGCTTTTTTGCTGCTTCTTAAAGCAGCTTTCGAGTATAAAAATTTTAACTTTTGTACTAGAAAGCTGTTTTAAGAAGCAGTAAAAAAATGATCCCAAACAAAGCCTTAACGCGCCTATTTTAGGCTTTATTTGGGATACTTTTCCTATTATTTTTTATATTTTCTAAAAAAATTTTATAGTACAAAAATTTTTAGGTAAAAATTTTTTATATTAAAAAGCCGTTTCAAGAAATAGTAAGCTTGAAACATTAAGGAAGCTATACCAACGAAACTTTGATCGAAATATTATGAATGTCTCTAATTGAGCTATTTCAATAAAATTATTCTTTTAATTAGAGATTTTCAGGCATTACGTCTGAAAAAGCATTATTATGTTTAGGCATTTTGATCAATCGCAAGCTCAAATTAATGCTTTGGTTTTGTTCGGGAAGATTTTCTTATTGGTTCTTAAAATAAATTTTAGTTAAAAAAATAACATTTTTTATTAGAAAGATGTTTAAGGTAGCAAGAAAATAATAATAAAATTATTAAAAAAAAATTGTATTAAAAAGTTGTTTTAGAAAATAAGAATAAAATTATTCAAAAAGAATTTTAATTTAAATTAAATTGAAGTAAATTTAAATAAAATTATGCAAAAGAAGGATGATATCGATATGCATGCAAATTATTAATGTTGTAAATTTACTATTTAATTATTTAGGATATGTTACTATGGTAGTCGTAATATTAAGAATAAACATAAATGAATGATAAGAACATAAAATCTTAAATGTTAATTAATTTATTTCTTTTTTCTTAAAAGTATAATATGATCATATTCATTTACATATAAACTTCAAGGAGAACTTGCTATTATTATTTCATAAATTATTTTATTTGCATAATTCTCAATCCATGATGATTTTCTGAAACTGTTAATTCTATCATTTTGTTGGGAAAAGATAGTATTCTTGCTTTTAATATAGACAAAATCTTTGCATTTTTTTCTCTCAATGTTTTATGCACTTTTAAATTTCATTTATATATATGAAATTTTATAGCCTGAATATACCTTTATTGATGCATGCTTTCTAGAAAATAAATAAAATGATTTATTTAAAAACATCTCCCTATTTGCTCAAAATTACAAATTCTCAAATAAAATTAAAATCCCCAAATTATTATCTTATATACTAATTATTTCATAGAAGGCCACAACAAGGAGAGATTATTAGGTGCGGAGTGCAGACGGGAAGAACTATCTACACACTAGTATAAAATCCAGCTAGGTACCGTTCAGTACCACTGGGTACCACTAGGTACCGCTTGGTACTCTGTGTCTGTGCAGATGATGCTCTCTCTGTCTGCACTCCGCACCTAATAATTATTCCACAACAAGAAGCTTATAATATAGATGTTTGTTTAGATAATATGATGCAAAAACAGTGAACAGATTTAACCTCTAAAGAAACAAACAAGACATCACTACCAAAAAACTTCCACCACAAAAATTGTGGACCCAGAAAAAAATCTTATTGCGTAAAGAGAAAAGTGGAAGCAAATCATGAAAAATTTAACAGCAAGACAATACATTACAGCGCCAATATGAGACATCTAAAATTATACGCCACTTCAAGACTGATGGGGCCTCAAAACCGAGAAATTATTATATAAGGAGACTAAACTTAGAATGATGTGAGGAGATCAATTAGAATGTATTATATTAACGGTATCGAGCACAGGTAAAATAACACATTTTGATTAATCTTTAAATAGCATTCGACATCCGCACATAATAATTAATCCTTAAAAGCAAGAAGAGCTGCTTGTTCTAAGGGAGTGATTATTCCGTTAGGTTATCGAATGCATGCAGAAACCAATACCGAAACGTCATGTCACTAAAGTGCTCGATATCATGCTCGATACATCACGCTCGGTACACTCGATATTCTCGATATTTTCACCGGATGGAATCATTTTAAATTCTAAGGGCATCTTCAACGAGCGTCCATACAAACGGCAAATTAAAATACATTTTTTTATTTTATCTCGATTATAAATGGAAGTGATGGAACTGTAATATCGTCATTGCACTATTCAGAACGAAGTCGTTAGCTTATTTTGAGTGAATTTAAATAGAGATGCAAAATAATATCTATAAAATATTCTTTTTTTAGGGATTAGAAATAAAATTACATTGAAAATGAATTCCTGTTTGATATAATTGATACTATATTTTGAAGTGGAAAATAAATTTTTTATTTAGAGAAAAACAAAATTAACACAGCATTTAGTACAGATTCTATGAAATCTAATTTCTTGAGGTGTAGTACTTAAATCTTTACATTTTTTTTGCTCAAATATTTTATATACATTGCAATTTTATTTATATAAAAATAAAATAAATAAATAAATATTAAGAATTTGTTAAATTTCATATCCTAAATACTTGCACAAGAGCATGCTCTCTCAAAAAGATAAATAAAATATGTATTTATAAAAATCACCCAATTTGCTTAGAATTATGAGTTCATTATTGATATACGATCGTAAGTTCGTTTGGGATGGATTTGGGATGGCTTTCTTACTATTTTGTAATGCAGTTTTTTATTATAAAAATTTTTTTAAAGCAAAAAAAAAAAAAAAACTGTGATCTAAAGTTGTCCTAAACGAACAATTGGATACTAATATCTAATTAATGGCTACCCAAATAAAATGCATATCACATAAAAATCTCTTCAGAAAGCATGAAGCAAAAACAAGATCATATTTTACACCCAAAGTAACGAAAAATTACTACGTGTGGTGTCCGGACGCGAGGCCAATCAGGATGTGTCACATCACCCAATGCACAGTGCATTGGGTGACGTGGCATGTCCGAATTGACCTCTGGACGCATTCAAACTCCGCACAGCGTAACCTCTCCAAAGAGACAGACAATCAATGCATCAAGACCCAAAAACATCCAGCACAAAAATGTGGGCCACAATAAAAAATCAATTGAAAAAAAAAAGTGAATGCAAATCATTTACAGTGCCATCATGAAAAAAAAAAGACAAAAAAACATTTACAGTGCCATCATGAAACGTCTAAAATTATACGCCACTTAAAGACTGATGGGGACTCAAAAGCTGTAAGTCTTTTTTATTTCTAATGGTGGTATTTTGATGTGTGCAATACAAGTTTGCCACTTAAGGAAAGAGTTTTTTATACTTCTGCTAGCAATGCATTCTTTTACTCGAAACATAGTAATTTTTCTTATAAACACCCTCTCATTTCTATGACATTTTAGGCATTTAAATGAAATAACAAGAAAGAAAGAAAGAAAAATTAGTATTGCAGCAAATATTGATAAATGACAAACTGAATCAAGGGAAAAGGAATTATAATGAACATGGTTTCTGCAAACATATACTCAGGCAAAGATAATAGATCGGCTCTATACAAATATCCCCACTTAACTGTGATTTGCATTCCCATAATCGATCAAATAGGGAGATCATCTACTAATTTCAAAGTATGAAGACACTGAACTTTAAAACATCAGACTTGAAGAAAAATATAAAGATTCAAAACTTACAAACTTCCAACGCAAAGTTGTAATAGCTTTTTCAAGTGCAGATCAAGTGTTGCTCCTTTGGCTGTACCTTCAATGGCAAGGGGTCGTCTTTTGCTTCCTTGAGGTGATGCTCGGTACCAAGCCTGGAATGCAACATGCAGCAAGTTAAACCTACTTTGAGAAGCAATAAGAAAATCATCCCAAACGAAAGCTTAAAAACTGCTTTGAGAAGCAATAAGAAAGCCGTCCCAAACGAAGCCTGCTCTAATTAAGGCTTTGTTTGGGAAGGCTTTCCTATTGCTTCTCAAAGTCATGATAGCTTTTTTAAGTGCAGATCAAGTGTTGCTCTTTTGCTGTACCTTTAATGGCAAGGGGCCGTCTTTTGCTTCCTTGAGGTGATGCTTGGTACCAAGCCTGGAATGCAACATGCAGCACTTAAACCTGACTTCTCTTTCTTCCGTTTCGGCGTCCCGGACGAACTTAAAAGTTGATTTGTTTCGACATCTTGAATATCTGCTTTACCATTTGTTTCTTCATCTGACTTTCCAACACCTTCAAACTTGTTCTCACCGCTGGTAAGCTCATTGCCTACCTGCTCACTCAGAGAATCTTGGAGAAGCTCAGCTAGTTTCTTTTTCTCAGTGGGAGAATGCTCAGATCTACTATCAGGAAACATGTCATCATTGAATGCTTTACCATTCACTTGAGGTGTTCCCACAGTACCAAAATAGCGGTTAGGGGTACTACCTCTGGAAGGAGTAAATTCTACATAAAATCAAAAGATTATTTAACACAGCTAAACATGAGAGGATCATAACAATAATATAATAAGTTCATAGTTTGATGAAAGAAATATTTTATGAATAAAAATCATAAAGATTCTACCTCCTTTCACACTGTAGTAGTCATCTTCACAATCAGAATCCAACCATCCCCGTGTGTCAAAGAACATATCCTGTTTACTTCCTACAGGGTAAACAATCACAAGGGAAAGGCAAAGTGAAGTTACCATCCATTGATCAGCAATTAAGAGAAAGCTATTCAAGTAAGGAAAAAAAGTTTAACCTGTTCTAAAATCAAGCACATTGTTCCCTAAAATAGAAGAAAACTTCTACTTGGAGATCTGAAACTAGATACAGTATAGTTCTAAAGCTAGAAAGGTCTTCATGGAATTTCAAAATTCATAAAATTCTCCAATAAGCCGAAATTTGAATAAAGTTTTGAAAATGTCATCTGCCCTTACTTTGAAATGCACAACAAATTAAGCATGGTCCAATTAACTTATGGTTTATGTCAATCCACCATAGCCATTCATCGAACCTAGCCCATCGATCATTATAAATTTCAACATTTTACCAAAGTTGTTTAATATATTACTATCATCCTCACAGCATGCACTTATCTCCATGTTCTGCATAGCCCAATCTCATTTATGGGGTTTAGAAAACCTACATATTGTAGCCATGATGAATACCCATAGCTCTGGAATTGTTAGATTATAATTAGAGGTCATTCTCTAGCCAATATAACACAATTTATCAGATGAAGCCATCCAGGAGGTACACATGCTCATTACTAGTTATCCTTTATAAAAAACTAGCACAACCTAGACAATTCTAAGCAAATGAAAGGATTGTTTTCATCTTAAATACATGATAGATGCAATCAATCAAGGGAGTTTGTTTCATCCAGCTATAAGAAGACCTTAGGGCAGGGGCGGATCCAGCTTCTTTTTTCAGGGTGGGCAAAAAAATTTTTTTTTGTGGGGGATGGGCAAAAATGCTTAGGATTGATTAAATGAGGGCAAAAAATTTTTTTGAGAGGGGGCAAAATACCCAAAATACCCAAAATATTTCAAAATATCTCACTAAAATTAAAAAAAAAAAAAATTGAGGGGTGGCATTTGCCCCCCCCTCAACTAAATGGGGATCCGCCCATGCCTTAGGGCATCTCCAACCGAAAAACTCAATTTTCACTCCAAAATGCAGTAGTAATACATTAAAATGAAAAAATTTGTCTCCAATTGAACTCCATTTTCAAACACAAAAAAAAAAAAATTCCTAGTATATTCTTTCCCATACTTTATTTTATATATTTTTAATCATATATTTATATTGTTAAAAAAAAACATATAGCTGGAGAACAGTGCAACGCCAATAGCGGAAAGTTTAGCATTCGGCTGGAGCGACCGAACGCACTATACAAATGTTTGACGTTCGACTGGAGAAGGCCTTACCAGTCAAGTTTCATTTGTCAGAAATTCTTTCCGAATTATTCAGCCATGATAGATAAGTGCAACTAAATCTAATATTCTCTTCAAAGCAAGATCAAAATTGGCAATCTCATCAGAAACTCAACATGTTATGCAGTAAGTTTAAATTTAAGTATAAATTCAGAAATAATATAGTATTTCACCAAAAAATTGCAAGCTGTAATGTCAACTAGAGTGAAGATTACCAAAGAAATATAATAATGGTAAATAATCATTTAGCTAGAATAATCCAGACATGCTTAGTACATGCCAACTGTGGCCAAAACATTCATGGGAGCCATTCTGATTGTTGTACTTTTCAGAAGCACATGACAATAAATCAATCTTTCGTAATACAAATACAGCGATGATAAAATTCCTAACCAGAGTGAGCAAAAATAAAGAAGAGAACAGTTCAACCACTCCAAAGCTTTTCAATACCTTAAATGACAAAAGATATCACAAGAAAGCGGCATAGATGAAATCACTGTTACAAGTTCGATCAATTTCAATCAGACCACCTGATTAATCGATAGCTAAAGTTGATAGTAAAACACAAGTAACAAGAAAAATCATCAATATACGCCCTGGAAAAAAAAAAGAGAAGAATTCTCGTAATAAAATGATCTAAAAATCAGGAAAAAGCAACATAAACCCCTTCTATTTCTCCTTCCAGAAAATCGCAAGGCATCACTCGTCCCCAATCACTTACCAAATAAACATCAAGGACTTTCAAAACAACCCTCTTATGTAGCAAAAAATCAGTAGAAACGAATCGTACCAAAATCCGTAGCACCAAAAACAAGTCCAGAGTTAACGATCTTGGAATTATCCGGACTGTTCTCCTTCACCTGCCACGAAAAGAAGAGCCTTTTCACCTTGGAAGCAACACCGCCGGAAAACCCCATATCGAAATAGTTAAGGACCCGATGGCTAGATGAAGATCGAAGCCATCCTTTGACCTAAGAATCACTGGTCTCTGAACTCTTTCGCAAACAGAAACGGAACAGAAAAGAGAGGCAAAACCGAAGCCGAAGGAAGTAATTCGGAGAAAAAGTCGTAACCGCTCCTACACTTCGTGCAGACTGGTGCACTAGTGGAGATGAACGTCTCTGTCCGCCATGCCTGGCTAGTTACAGATAGAGAGAGAGTGTGTGAGGAAGAGAGAGAGAGAGGAGAATTTATTAGAACGGTTAGACGAATTGGCTTCTTTGTAGTTTTATTTAGAGCGAGATATTTAAATGGGCATTATTAACTTTATGGCCTTCAAAATTAGTAAAAAGATTTGGTCCTCAGAAGTCAGAACACCGTAATTAAAACAATGTTAACGTTTTCCGTAATAAAAACTTTTATAATTATAATATTTATTAAATAAGTTGCATTTTGCATTCCAAAATTTTAAATTTTGATAAGAGAAATGAAAAATATCAATACATATCTTATATGATATTTTGTGTGTATTATGGATTAATTTATTTTTATGTTCAAAGGGAGTAGGGGTGCAACCGAGTCGAGTCGGCTCGAGTTCGACTCAATAATAGACTCGACGAGTCAAGCTTGTCGAACTCACGAGTAGAGCTTATCGAGCTCGCAAGTCGAGCTCGAACATGATTTCGAGCTTAGTTGTTTATCGAGCTCGAGCCCGAACTGCACACTACTCGACTCAAGAGTTCGTCGAGCAGTCAAGCAGCTCGCAGATGAAATCACAAGCGTGAAAATACAATCGCAGGAAAATGAAATGGCCACCGGGAAAATGAAATCATGCGGACGCTTGCGATGCGAGAACCTAGTACGAAGGATGCAAGCAAGCTAGCGACAAGCCGTCACGACGCGAAGAAGCTAGCTTGGTGACGACGCAACGAAAGCTGGCGTCGCCGGTTGAAACGAAGAAGCTGGCGACGACGCAAAGAAGCAAGCTAGCGACGACGCTAAGAAGCCAGTATGGCGATGCAAGCAACTAGTTACGATGGACAGATGTTGGAAACGACGTTGGCACTGGCGACAGACGGACTAAGCTCGAATTATAGCTCGAGTAGCTCGTCGAGGTTTTTTTTTTCTCTGTCGAGTCGAGCTCGAGCTCTAGCTCGGTATTGGATAGCTGAGCTTGACTTAAACACCCCTAACTCAAGCTCGACTCGACATTTGCACCCCTAATTGGATGGGATTTGATCATTTTGTCTTAGTCAAAATATTCTTAGTCATTTTTTATTAAAAGTTAATATTTGTTTAAATACTAATTTTTTTTCTTAAATATGATCTTAATTATGTTGAAGGAATAATGAAGTGGGCATATAACATAACTCTTTTCAAATAATTCACATTATTTAAAATTATTATAAATAAAATATATTAGAAAATAAATTAAATAAAAAATTCCATGATATCAAATGTGTAATAAGACAAAAACATGAATGAGTGAAAGAGATCTATTTATTTTTTCTTCATTGTTTTTTAACATTTACTTATCATTATTATCAATTATTGAGTGACATTCAGTTAACATTTACTATATATATGCTCTTGTATTTTTCATGAGCAAAAAAATCAAAAGAAATATTAAAAATCAAGAGATTTTTTTGGGGGAAAAAATATTAACATGACATCTCATTTTTTAAGCTCATCTTGGCCATCCATTTGTTATCTTTTTGGAGCTCCAAGTCTATTCATGTAATATTAACATCAATGCTACAATTGTAGGTGCAAAATTCATTTTGTTCACATTATTTGAGTTTAATCAACACAATAAAAGGGAGGAAATTCTATTATGTAAGAACATAACATGCAAATTTTATATAAAAATAAAAACAATTAGAAATCTTATCTCAAATCAACCCACATAAATAAGAAGATGAAATCCAAAATTTTCACAATACTAAGATTAGCTTAAGCGGAAAACTTTAGTTATTTAATGCAATGCTAAGTCTCATAAATCCTCAAAACCTCTAGTCATAAAAAAAGTGTGATAAAGGATAGCAATCTTTAATGTTATGATGTTCTAAATCTTCTAAGATTATCTCGTACATATAACCTTTTGCCCATACATGATTTTAGAAAAGAAAAAAAATATTGCATGTAAATCGCTACATTAGTCTGCATTCTAAAACCATAGAAGAAAATTATGATGGGCAACTCCTGCTATAGATCTTGAGAATAACTTATGTGGAATAATTTATGATTCAAGTTTTATATCCATATTTAAGAATGGGCATTTAAGGAATGCTTTAAGTATTGATTAATCATTAATTCTAAACTAGTAAGACACTTGAGGATTTAAGTTCGTATAACAAAGAATTAAAGTGTTTTTATATATAAATATTAAGTAGTTGGTTCAAATTCATAAACTAAAGCTTTTAGGTTTAAAATGGATCTGATTTATTAGGCTAAACTTCATACATGCATTGATTCACGTTCCCCAATAAGTAATATTATAATATATATGATTCAGTTTGAATAGAGTAATTCATGTAATTTATGACTCCGTGGGATTTTGATGGGTTCTATCATTGTTGGGCAAGACTTCGGTGACTCTCATAGTACCTTGAATTGAATTTTTGAGTAAAATCTAAATGAATAATACTTGGTGATATTCAATTTGATGAGTGGTGATGGCTGTTGAGTGATCTCATGTGATGAGGAGATTGTGAAGGCATAGAAGTCTTTGGGTTTAATACTAAACTAGATTATTAAAAAATGTATTACGATAAAAATACTAAAAGGCTGGCCCTCACTTATGAGCTCAGGCATTTGAATTTAAAAATGAGTTTTACAATTGTTGGATCTCTTTTGGTTTACACTCCCCATGCAAATCTAAGTTTTATTATGGTTTGATTGGATCTAACCAATTGACTAACTTGGCTCACAATCAATTCTAAGTAATAGCCATGACATCTATCATCAACATAATATAATATGTTTGCCTCAATCCTTTTTAATCTATGAAGGATTGGTCATATTTTTACATCACTAATAGAAATGTATCTAATCTACTTTGCCATCATCACACAATCACTAGCAATGTTTGTTAGATATTTTAATGTAATTGATAATGATTTTCACTATAAGAACCTTATCTCTTTCAAATGATTGAACATATTTAGCATTTTGGAAGCTAGGGTTAATGCCTTTCTTCTTAATTTCACTTTTTCATGTCTACTCATCACCTATTCCACAATGAAGGGGAATGCAATAACTTCTCCTCTAATAGTCTTAGGAGAATTTGGATCATATGGGACAACTCCTAGTTCTCCTTTTACCCCATTCTCAAATGAAAAAAAAAAAAAAAAAACAATCCATAGTCTTTTCTCCATTAAGTCAATCTCCTCCTTTCATCTATAAGTGTTGTATGCAGCCAATTCCCTTTTTTTTTTTTTTTTTTTTTTTGAGAGAGAGAGAGAGAGAGAGAGAGAGAGCTGACCTTTGGTTATTTCTTGTCAAAATTTGCCAACTTTAGTGAGGAGGCTTGATTGGATTTGAGAAAATTTAATTGATGTAGATATTAAGAGAAGAAGGCTAGTGGTGTTCCTTTATCACCAAACAAACTTATTAATTTTAACAAATGCATGTTTTAGGTCGGGCTCCTCAACCTCTCTTACATGGGGCTCTTTTATAGTTGGTATAATTCAATACCAAACTATTCTCTCCACATCAAATAGTATAGGCTTTCGTTAACCAGGTTTGACTAATGACATTATGGGCAACTTTAACTCCTCAAGCAGATCTCATTACTTTTGTGTTAAACTTTATATTAAAAAGGCATTGATTTCGTTAGACGAGAATATCTCATCCACATAATCCATACCAAAGGCTTTCCCCTTTCTTTATCATGGATTGAAGTTTCTACCTTGAATGTGCATTGCTCCAATCGAATGGTCAATACTTCTCCTCTTCTAATGTCTCCACTGTCCACTCTCCCCTTATATTTTTCACTTAGCTATGGATGGTTTCTCTATCCTCCTAGATGATTCCATCAATGAAAGAAAATACTATGTTGTCATATCTACTTGGGTCAAGCACTTCTACTACCTCCTATATATTGATAATGTCATTCTTTTTGGAAAGCCACTTCTTCTAAACTTATATATCTCAACCAAATTTTGAGGGACTTCAAAAATGCTTCCAATATTGTGGTTAACCCCATTAAAACCCAAATTTGCTTCCATAGAAGCACTTCTAACCATGGAAATTTATGTGATGTAAGTGGCTTTAACCTTTTGCTCATGTTGTTCACTTACTTGAGTTTTTCGTTCTCCAAGGCCTATACTTGCTGATTTATGGCCTCTCATTAATTTAATTTGCTTCACTTTAGATGGATACAAAGTAAAATGTATATCTTTAGTGGGGAGATATCAACTCATGAAATTTTTTTACTTGTAATGTCATTGGCTATTGGGGTATGTCTCTTTTCTTTCCCATGGGATGCATGAATATAATTAATAAGTGGTGCTCAAAATTTACTCTACATGGTGAGTTTACTATTAACTAAATCCATATGATTGTGTGGGGGAACATTTTCCATCCTAAGTAATAAGGAGGCCTTTGTCATCCCACTATTGTTGCCTTATCCTTCAACTATATAGCTAATAACATCCCGAACATTCGAATAGCAAAAATCTTTTCTCAAATTGGTTTAATAGCAAATACATCTCTATATAGAATGCAACAAATATATATAAATATATATATATATATACACACACACACACACACACACAATCTGTATTTATAAGTTTGTTATTACTCAAAACCAATCACTCCATTGAATTGGGGATGTGTCATCCTCTCTTTTTTGAAACCCTTTGATTAATAAAAATTTTTATTTAAGAAAATACAAATGATGCCTCATTCAAATCACTACCCTATGACCACACCATCAAAAATTTTTCTTTCCGTAGCTATGAGGATGGATTCTCCTACTTTCTTTGCCTTTTGGAGCTTCAAGAACATATTTATTCATGTTGATCAATTGTTTTGGAATGGCCTTCTAAGTCTTCTACCAAAGACTTCATAAATTTCTTCTGCCATGATATATTGATGACTAATTGATGAATGTTGTTTCGGCACAAAAACTACGTCCGTAGATACTTTATTTATTCATAGTTGGCTATTCCTTAAGGGCTTAAAATGGCTAGTGTTACTATTTCAAATACAATAAAGTGGATTCTTTATAATTGCGCAAGGCAAATTTATATA